GCCAAGGCTGGGAGCTGTAAACAAACTTTATGGGACTGTAGGAAACTTGACCATACCCATGATAAGTGGACATCTGGCTAACTAAAATCATCTATCCATTTGAACGGAGATGAGCAGGCAGGCACTGACAGCTAGATTTAGAGCTAGCTGGAAACTTTACCAAATGTTTAATTACTACTTAGGAGCAAAGTTGCCACAAACTATGTAGTTAAGAAAGTGGTTTTTTAAAATTCAGCAAGCATTTGGGAAAGGCAGTGAGTATGTTGTTCATATATTTAGTCCACCATCACATCATCATGCTGATATTTACAATGGGCAGTTTTGATTAATTTGGGTAAATGCTTTGCAGCATTTCTCTGGAAATAGATCTAGGTGCTGAGTGCCTTTCATTTGTATTAAAGAATTTAGACAAAACATTTTTGCTTTTTTATTCAGATATCATTCACATCACAAAATAGACCATAAAAAGTCCAGCCCTACAAGACAGGGAGAAACAAAAATCCTGTAAGACAAAAACCTTAACAAGGTAGCAACCACAGGGGGAATCGATTTGTACTATGCATCATTCTCTATCTACTCATTAAACATTTTATATTAGTTCTGAAAACATTGGAATTTTGAAACTGCATCAGACCAGTGATCCATTTAATCAAAAAAAGTGGCGAGGAGTCCTGTGGCACCTTATAGACTAACCGGAGTGTTGGAGCATAAGCTTTTGTGGGCAACGACCCACTTCGTCAGATGCATGTAGTGGAAATTTCCAGAGGCAGGTATAAATATGCAGGCCAGAATCAGGCTAGAGATGACAGGTGGATCCAATCAGGGCGGATGAAGCCCACTTCTAGTAGCTGATCTGGAGGTGTAGTTAACTAGCCATTCACAGTCTTTGTTTAATCCTGAGCTGATTGAAGATGAACTGTAACTCAGTAGTTTCTCTTTGAAGTCTGGTTCTGAAGTTTTTTTGCTGCAAGATGGCTACCTTTAGATCTGCAATTGTGTGTCCAGGGAGACTGAAGTGTTCCCCTACAGGTTTTTGTATGTTGCCATTCCTAATATCTGATTTGTGTCCATTTATTCTTTTACGTAGGGACTGTCCAGTTTGGCCGATGTATATAGCAGAGGGGCATTGCTGGCACATGATGGTGTATATTATATTGGTAGATGTGCAGGAGAATGAACCAGTGACGGTATGGCTGATCTGGTTAGGGCCTGTGATCACATATTGCTGGTGTAGATATGTGGGCAGAGTTGGCACCGAGGTTTGTTGCATGGATTGGTTCCTGAGTTAGAGTTATTATGGTGCAGTGTATAGTTGCTGGGGAGAATATGCTTCAGGTTGGTGGGTTGTCTGTGGGTGAGGACTGGCCTGCCTCCCAAGGCCTGTGAAAGTGAGGGATCATTGTCCAAGATGGGTTTTGCATCACTAATGATGTGTTAGAGAGGTTTTAGCTGAGGACTGTAGGTGATGGCCAGGGGCTAACACGGCTACCCCTCTGATCTAAGCTATGTCGACTATGTCCACTTACTGTGATAGTATGGAGAAGATTGGCTTGGTTCTGGATTTTTTAGACATTCACAAGGACAACGTGCAGTGTAGTCACTTGTTTGTTGTTTTGTTTTTCCAGAATCAACAGACACCCCTCTCCCCCCCAAAAAACCCCCACCATCCCTCAGAAAGAGGGAACAAATCAACACACCCTTAGAGCCCCGATCAGTGTTATTCTATCTATTACCCAAGATCCACAAACCTGGAAATCCCGGACGCCCCATCATCTCGGGCATTGGCACTCTCAGTGAAAGACTGTCTGGATAAGAAGCAATGGGCTTAAACTGCAGCAAGGGAGGTTTAGGTTGGAATGACTAAAACTACACACCCTATGCAAGTTTTTAACAATGACGTTATCTCTAGCCTGATTCTGGCCTGCATATTTACACCTGCCTCTGGAAATTTCTGCTACATGCATCTGACGAAGTGGGTCTTTGCCCATGAAAGCTTATGCTCCAACACTTCGGTTAGTCTATAAGGTGCCACAGGACTCCTCGCCACTTTTGCAGATTCAGACTAACACTGCTACCCCTCTGATACTTGACACCATATAATCCAGTAATCTGTATTTGACAGTGGCCAACAACAGAAAATTCAGAGGAAAGTGAAAAATTTTCCAGTAGACCAAAAAGATTGCCCATGGCATAAATATCTTCCTATCATTTATCAGTCAGCAATTAGCTTGTGTCCTAAAGTGTGATGGTTTATATTTTTTCTAATATTTTAAAAATCTTGTTTAATGTAAATGTGGTTCTTCTCATTATCCATACAAATGTCTAAATCTACTAACCTCTTGGCCACAGGACTCTGGCCAGGTTGTATTTTTCTTTTTATCAGTTGAATTAAACTGCCAGTCATTCTTGCTTATGAGAGTTCAAGGTGGGAGCACCCAAGTTACTTTCTGTCCACCATCCTTTATTTTGTATATTTCAGTCATGTTCTTTCTTATTTCTCTCCTCTTTAAACTACACAGTGCTAACCTTACCAAATGCTTCTCCAACAGACGTTTCTATGCATTTGTACTGCCTGTCTCTGAACCCTTTGTTTCCTTTTAGATGGAATGACTAAAACTACACCCTCTATGCAAGAATTTAACAATGACATTTTATATAATAGCATTGTAATATTTTCAATGATTTCTATCCCTCAGAGAAGACAGAGAAGGGACACAATAATCGTTTTCAAATACAGAAAAGATTGTTACATGAATGAGGGAGGCAAATTGTTCCTCTTAATCTCAGAGGATAGATTAAAAAACCCCATCAGAATGTAATTTCAACAAGGGAGATTTAGGTTGGACATTAGAAAAAAATTCCTGTCAGGGTGGAATAAATTGCCTAGGGAGATAGTAGAATCTCCATCATTGGAGACTTTTAAGAATAGGTTAGACCCAGGGGTGGCCTGTGGCTATAGGCGGACTCGGCCGCCGCCTAGGGTGCCACCGCCCGGGATGCCCGATGATGACATCATGGGGGCACCCAGGGCGTCCGCCAATGATGTCAGTCCATTGACGGCCCTGCAGGCGGGGACACCGATCGCGCGCTCCTCCTGGGGCACCAGCTCCCACAGCCAGCCTCAGGCAGCTCCCGGTTAGACCAACATCTGTCAGGAATGGACTAGATGCCAGATAATACTTATTCCTGCCATGAATACAGAGAACTGGACTAGATGATCTCTCAAGGTCTCTTCCAGTCCTATAATTCTATCCCATTCCTTATGCACCCTTGCTTTTCTGACTATTGTTGCACATTGAACAAAGACATAGGTGCCTAAGTTTCTTTAGTAAGTGTTTACAGTTTATTTAGAACCCAGCAAGGAGTAAGAGAAGCCTAATTAGTCTTTCCAATATTCATCTTGCATTTATCAATATTCTGTTTCCTCAGCTGCCACAATGATGCATTAATCGTTGTTCCATCTTGTGGGAGAAGCAGCCAGGGGTGATGATAAACAGTCTGTATTCAGACTGTAGTTACATATACTGTGTTTATAACAAGCTGTGACTGCATATATAAAAAATGGGAGTAAAAATCAGAGCCAACAAAAACACAAGCCTCGCTCACTTGAGATAGAAGAATATATCCATTAGCTATGATAAAAGCCAGCTTGTAATTCTGTGAGCTCTGTTCTCCAGAAGGAAGGTGCACGTGTGTTAAAGTATTGTATTACACTTCTATGACTCTATCACAAAAGAGGATCAAAGCATGAGAGAGATTAAAATAACACACATGCCACAGTGAAAGAATCGGGGTGGTGCCATTGCTCCATCTGAGTTAAGATAATATTTGGTTTTGTGCATAAAGTACAGAGAGTAAAGAGAGAGTTTTTTACATGAAAAACATAGTTATTTGCCCATTTTTAGCACATAATCTCCCAACATAGCTTGAATTTTTTGAAGTATTTAAAAAAAATCAGTAAAGTGATCTGAGTTCTAATCAATTAAAAATTGGCGCTCTTAAAAGGTTCACATTTTGAGTCTTGTGATTTTCTGGATTTACAAAGGGGGTGCCAGCCCTTCTCTGCCCCCTGCTATATCACTACCCTGACACAGTCTCCCAAAAGAAAACTGTCATGGGGGAAAAGGGATAGTGAACTTATACCCCCAAGCACAGTTTACAGAAGCTATTCAGGCTCTGGTGCTGGTGGAATCAATAAACTTGGCTCTCCAGGGATGAAAAGGGAATAGAAAAGGCAGTAGCCAATCGGGGTGTACTAGATGAGATTAAAAAGGCCTGCCTGTGTCTTCTGAGGTTGACATTTAATTGGAGCTGAGACAAGAGAAGAGCTCCTGGGTTCCAATCCAAACCCCCCCTGACTCAGGCCTGCATCAAGGCCGAACAATAGAACTTGAGCTGCAGTTAAAACAGGCAATAAACAGGTGGTAGAGGTTGGCGTTTGAAAAGTCTAGGGCCCTTTTGAGTTTAATTTCAATTAACTGATCTATGACCAGGAAAAGGTGCATGGCATAAGAGGCCTTGTTCCTGGTGAACTTTGACAGGCCCTTAGAAAATTATTCACTGTAAAAAGCCCCCTTCCTAAATAGGAGTGAATGTGATTTTTCTAGAATTGTGCAGGATAGACAGGGGAGGGGAGGGAATGCTGGGGGAGGTGTGTCTGTTAATGGTAGTGGGGAGTTCATGGAAGTGAGCTGGCAGGCTGGCATCCCTACTGGGGCAGAGTTAAGGTGGTGATATTAGCTCTAAAGGGGAGATACAGCTTTTCCAGGTGGAGGAGTAAAAGGTGGGTCATGTGAGATGCCTTGCTTTTGTAGTTGTCATTTCCTTGTTTTTGTGGTTTTATGTTATGTGTATAGCCACCTTAAGTCATGCACAACTCAGTGTTTTTGTGTGCTGGTATATGTTAGAGATGGACCTGAATTAAAACTCCAGATCCTAACACACCTGATCTATGACTGATCCCCCCAAGGATAAGATATTTGTGCTCTGTCCTCTTCTAGCTGGAACCAGTTGGGAAGAAGAAGCATTATTATTACATGGAGATGCTTCAGGCTCGGTGCCCATCTCAGGTAGGAATGCTTTCTTTTCAATGTAGGATTTTAATTGCATCTAGTGAAGACCCACTAAATCAAATGCTGAGGGCACTCCCACTGATGTCAGAACTCCTGCTCCTTGCAAGGAGTAAGGGAATCTGATCGGAGCATTTGTTCTGTTGCCCTCCTGCTGTGAAGATGGTGCTAAAGCTCGGCCTAAGGTACATTGATTCCAGCTACCTTTTTAATGTTGCTCTAATTGTAACCAACCTTCCCCTATAGTGTGGACTTGGCATAAGCTTTTTTATCTGTATTGTCTTCTGAAATGCCAAACCACTGAAAAGGTTTGACTGATAACTGGACTTCTTGGCAGCATGTAGTTAAACCACCTTGCCACATTGGATCTTTCAGAGTGGTTCACGTGCTGGAAATGAATAAAGTGAATTATTCTTCAAAGGGAGAAAACTGCCTGTATTAGGATCAATTTTAGCAGTAAAACTGAGGCCCACACAAAGTGAAGAACTTGGATCAGTCGTGACTTGAATCAATTTCTTATTTAATCTGAAAGTGGCAACTCTACTATTTGATCCCAACAACTGACAGTAGCAATGATGATTGTGTTAGCCTCTCCTCTGGCCTTAGTGCAGGATCATACTATGTCATTCACTCTGTATCTGACTCTCCATCTCATGCAGTCACAACTTCTTTTTGAATTTTCTGAATTCATTCCATGGGAATGTAAGAAGTAGCAGGAAGAGGAGGGTCTGGATGGCTCTGGGATGTGGGGATTGGCTACCAAGCCTTTTGCATGTAGGCTGCTGGTTTCAGTCTGGCCCCAGCTGATAGTGACAGACAGTTCTTGCTGTACAGTTCTTGCTGAAAGGCTTTGTAAATGAACAGTCATTGAAAGTGTTATAGAGACTAAACTATCCTGTATCTCTTGACACAGACCATAAGGCTGGGACAGGGGATACAGTCAGGTGACTGTCCCTGACACTGCTTAAGCCATATTGGTGTGATAGACAAATAGGAATTCAATCTCCAAGCCCATCAACATGGCATGTTTTATTAGCACTATGTTCATTTGATAGTTGGAGATCATGCTGATTTTCTCCTTCAGGAAAATCTGTCCAGTTGTCTTTAGCAGCAGCTGATTATCTTTCCGTTATGACCATTAAATGTTTCTTATCTCTGCAGGAGTATCCATATTTGTTCACATACAGAAATAGTAACTACTCATCTTCCCCTCTGACATCACAAGCTGAAGGCCAGTCTCAGGTATGGAAAACCTTGGTATAGCATATAAACGAATACGTGTTTACACTGGAGGGCTAGGACTGGATGGAAGGCGCTGGTACAAGAGTGGTGGTGTTTCAACAACATTACTATCTTGGGACAGTTATGAATCCAAAGCCTGAGACTCTTTAGCTGCCATGCTGTGAATGGCTGAGGACTAAAAAACATATATTGCTGCCACATCCTCACCAAGCTGCTCTTTGTGTAGCATGGGCCAAAAATAAATTGGCCTCAGTCAGCCTGAGGCCTTGTCTTTGCTGCTAAACATGGTGTGATTTTTAATTTCAGGGTAGCTAACATGGATGAGTTATCCCAAAGTAAAAATACAGTGAAGGCAAGGCAAGGTTTACCTCAAGGTAAAGCAGGTGAGGTCAGCCCCAGGCTAACCTTGATGAGTTTACGTTGTGGTCAAACTGTGTTGTCTTGTCTTCACTATAGTTACTTTTACCTTGGGATCATTCACATGTATTAGTTATCTTGAGATTTTTTTAAAAAACAAGTTTTTCTGGCCTTGAAGACACGGCCTAAGTTCAGGGTTGTTGAGCAGTGCTACTACAGTCCTGAGCATTGCAAAGGTGGTGGTAGTCATTGTCATGAGCAAGAGTTCAGTCTACCATGGACCAGCAACCCTAGTAGTCCATGTGATATGTGGGCCGGTACTGCATGTTCTGGGTCTGGTTCTCATCTCGCTTACTTTAGGGTAATGCAACAGATTTCATTAATTACTCCTGATTCACAGCTGCATAAGAGGTCACTGTATTGGGCCCATCACTTTTCAGGCTGTGAGGAGATGAGAGAGAACCAGATGGCATGAGGGAAAGGAGACCTAGAAGAGAAGGACTGAGCAAAAGCTTTACCACTCAAACCAGAACACTCAAACCAAATAACGCCCCACTTGATCACCATATTGGACAATAGGGTTGACAGACATCTGGTTTTTAACACCAGGTCACAAAGGGACTCTGGCAGCTTCAGTCAGCACAGCTGACTGGGCCGCTAGAAATCCGGTTGGCAGGTGTGCCAGCAGGGCAGGTAGATTCTATGGAGGAGGGGGTTCTGGGCTGGGGCCAATGGGATTGGTGTGTGGGAAGGGCTCAGGTATGGAGCAGAGGTGTGAAAGTAGGTGCGGGGTACGGTTTCCAGGAGGGAGTTTGGCTGCAGGAGGGGTTTCTGAGCTGGGGCTGGAGGTTAGGGCACAGGAAGGGGTTCAGGGTGTAGACTCTGGGCAGCACTGACCTCAGGTGGCCCCAGCATTTCCTAAGAATGGAGGAAGTCCATATGGCTCCCAGGAAGCGGTGGCATGCCCCTCTCACTCCTTGGCGGAAGGGTGGCCAGGGGACTCTGTGCACTGTCTCCCCCTGCAGACACCACTTCAAGCACCAGCTCCATGGCTTCCATTGACCAGGAGCCAAGACATTAAAACACTTCTGTGACTCTATCATTAAACAAGATTACAGTGCAGGAGACCATACAAATAACAAGACAAAATGAAAACAATCATGGTGGTGTCATTATACCACTGGAGTTAAGGTTGCTTTTGTGCACTTCCAAGAAGTGTTCTGATTTGCGCTCTTTCTTGCGCGCTCTCTCTGAAAATGCATCAACAGCATGGCTTGGAAATATATCTGTCAATGACCTGAAATCAATCCTAAATGGAGGCTTACCCAGTTGGAAGAAGCTATCAGAGGGTGGTTCAGTGCCCTGTGGTTGAAAGGATACCTCTCTCTGCTTCTAGGTAGGAAGGAACAGGACCCAGGAAAGAGTTAATGGAACTGCAAGGGTCTTACCTAGATTGGCTTCAGTTTTCAACACCTGGGAAAGGTAGTGAGGATGGGAGAGTTGTTTGTGAGGACAGACATATAAAGAAGGAAGCCCTCAGAGTAATGGGAGATTTGCTGTGAGGGAGCTAGGCAAGAAGCAGAGGGGCTGGCTGGTGGAAGGTTGGTACTCCTGGTTAACTAGAGAACCTGAGAGGGGCAGATTGAGAAATCTGCAAAACCTGAAAGAGACACTTTGGACTGAGTCTGAAAGACACAACAGGGAACTGAAGGCTGCTGGCTGTAGGGATTCCACAATAGATCTCTATAAGGAACCATGATTGGAATAGGACTCTGGTGGAAAACTAGGGTGGAGTAGTATTTAATTGGCTTACTTTGTGGGAACTGATTAAGACTTGAGTGCACTTGGGTCCAGATGAACCTGGAGTTAGATAATCAACACCCATAGTCACACTCAATGACCTGGTTGGAAGGTCAAGCCTTCCCAAGAGGAAGGAGACCCCTGGACATCCAGAGGAAGCACTCATGAGGTGGAAGCTTGGTTTAATCAAGCCTTGAAGTTAGATGATGCTCTATTGGGACATCCCCTAACAGAAGCAAATCAGTTTTGAAGAGAGCCTAGTAGATAACTTACAAAAGCCACCAGCCGTGTGCCATTTTATGTGCAAATAATTCAATGTTGTGGAATTTAGTTTTACACTAGGAAGGTCTGAGATCGTTTTTATATAGAAATCCCTAGGAACACCAAACATATCACCATCAGTCTATAAAAGGTCTCCTGTGATGTCTCACACTGTGTGTACTTCCAGGAAAGAAGCTATGGGACAAGCATTCCCTGTTTTGACAGAATTCCCTCTAATACGGTTCCTGTTTCAGGTACAGATTTTTTGTATCTTTACTGGAGTACTATTACAATTGATCTTGAAGGGACATTAGTTGGGTAACTTTTTTAAAGTATCAAATTATTTCATTAAAGTAAAAAATACTTCAGAAATAAAAGAAGCAGCTTTGGGTGACTATTTAAAACTTCCCCTGTAGTGTTTATGAAGTCATATACATAGACTTGGCCTTAAGTGTAGGTGAACTCAAGGTAAAACTGGCAAAGGGCAAAAAGTAAATCTAGCTAGTCTTCCCAAGTAGCATTAGATGCAATTATAGTAAATCTATATATGTCTGTAGCCCTTCCAGACAATGATCTCAAAATGTGGCATGAACAGGAACAATTTAAGCCATGTAGCATGCCAATAAGTCAATGAATTCTGATTATCTCCACTGGGGAAATTGAGGGACTGATAGCTGCTGTAATGTCTCACAGGATAAAAATGTGAAATAGCCTCTAAGTCTCCAACAGCCCAGTCCAGAGGCTTAACCACAAATGGCACTACCTTCACCAAAAATAACAAATAAAACAGTAAAAATGATGGGGGGAAATAGATATTTAGAGTTATTTCAGTTTAAACAGCCTAAGGTCAAGGCAACATGTCTGAAATAGTTTATTTTTTATGTTATCCATACCCTTTTACTTACAAGTGATTTTCTCAGAGGCAGATGTGATTTACTGATAGAGCTCTGGGCAGATACAAAATTTGTATCCACATCCATATCCACAAAGAAGAGTCAGGGAAACCACATCCATGGATGTGGATACCTATGGATATAAAATGGATATCCACAGATTTGCAGGGTTCTAGATACAAAATTTGTATCCACATCTGTATCTGCAAAACTGAGTTGCAGATATCTGCATCCATATCGGTGATATCTGTGGATGCAGATACCTGTAGATATTAAGCAGATATCTGCAGCTATAAAGTGGATATCTGCAGATTTGCAGGGCTCTACTGACAGAAAAGCTTTGGTAACCACAGGTTTCTCTGATCTTAGACACAGAACAGAAACTAATCATTGCATCCTAATAAGGTTCCTACTCTGCCACAGAAGGAGTTCTTTAGATAAGATTGAAAGACTCTTCAGATGAGTTTTTGTTAAATTCTCTAATTGCCTTAATATTAATCAGGTTTTTATCTGATTAGGATGTACTCTTTCCAACTAAGTCATAGTTCACTAATCGCTCTATAACTGAATGGTCCATTCTGGAAAATACCTTGGAGTTGTCCTCTGCCTGGCTATAATTGCAGGTGATATTGATGTCTAACAGTTAGTCCTACTCATCATGAGCCAGAGAAATGGAAGTTAATTTCCCCTGTGTTCAGAACCAACAGCGCTTTCAGGAGCTTATAATGTTATGCTGCAATTCAGAATTTACTGCTGAGATCTATTTTGTTCCTTTTGCAATTAAAATTTTATGTGCTTTTTTTTCAGTATATCATATAATGGATAACTTTTCTACCTAAGGGACCATTACCAAAAAACCTAATGCAAAAAGAGGCCAGTTTTAGACCAATGATTTATATACACACCCTTAAGAAGTCAAGTAATAAATTAGATGAAGAAAAAACAAAGTGTGCAGATGGAAACTTATTAACATAGCAAGGTCAATATATGCATATTGGTGCATTGCCTTACATTAAAATTAGACTGTTCTTCCTTCAGTTTTATTTGTATTATGTCACAAATTGAAATATAGGTAAACATGACAAAATTTTATTTTTATTTTATTTAGACAGATATATTTTAAAGCATTTTTCTATTTTTATCAATTTTAAATTTTCACAATTGTACAAAATTTTGGGTTTTAGGCATTTCACCCCCTATTTTTATCCGTTTAAATTTTCACCATTTCAGGAAACTATTGCTTGGGGATCAGATAACTGGTGTGTGTGCTTGTGTGTTTATGTGTGTCAGATAATTTGATAGCAAACTATGAGGTTTAGAGCTTTATAACTGTCAAAACACATCAGAATGAACAAAGTAAATATCCTTGACTCAGATTCTTATGTTTACTTTGCCTATTGGTAAATTTCAATTGTTGCTGAAAATATTTTCTTTTGTCTGTGTGTATATAGTGAAATTGTTATTTATCAACATTTAACAATAAAAAACCTAATCCTTCCATGCCAAATATAGGCAGATTATTCAAAAGAGTCCAGGGCTGGATTTTCAGATACTCACAGCTGGGGGCAGATTTGCAAGAGAGCTCAGCTCTCCTTCAGGCACCTACATTTGGGTCATATTTTCAAAAGTGTTCAGCACCCACCATGGCAAACTCTTGAAAATCTGACCATTTGTTATTTTGATGGCTGAACAGAAGACTCACTTGCTTGTAATGATCAGCTAAATGATAACCAGCCAATAGGAGAAAATACGATACTTTTTCTAATTCGGTCTAGAATCTTAAGACCTCTGGGCGTTTCTTTCCTAGATGGATTTTGATTTGCTGTTAAAAGCTCCAGCATTTCTTGGGGCTTGACAAAAATCTTTCTTTTGGGACAGTTCTGGAGGGAAATCCCCTGACCTCTTCACTATAATTGGTTTGTCGCAATCGGATCAAGTCTCTAACTGTCGAGTTTTCTGATCAATGCCAGTATTTGTCAATTTATCATTCCAAGCACCAAGGGTCATGACTATTGAACTAGAGTCTCTAGAATAATTTATACTTATCCCAGAGAAAGGTCTTCCAATACAGCCGGATCTGAAACTCCCTTCTCCTTTCAATCTTTTTTCCTTAGTTCACAACTTGAGGCCAGCAGACATCAAAGTGATTGGTGCACTGGGAGACTCACTCACAGTAAGTTCAGATCACAGGATAACTTCAGTTGAATGATATGAAGACAGATGTGAATTCTAATGAAAGAGAGTAATACAAACGTTGTTGTGCTCTGTTTGGCTAATTGTATGTTCCATGCCATATTGTCTTCTGGTTCAGCTATGACTATTCATCACCTTATAGGCCTAGTCTTTCTATGTGCAGAACTCCCATTTCAATCAACAAGAATGCTGCACATAGAGGACTGGTGGATTAGGATGCACATCAGATAAAAATAGTCAGCTTGATAACTGCATACATTTTTACAGCTCAGAGATAAAATCCCTAGATACTTACCTTCCCAACAAATGTGCATAAACAAAACAAAATGTGCCTGTTCTCCAGGTGGTATAAATTAGCATAGTTTCCCTGGAGCCTACTCCCTTTCGCACCATCTCAGTATCTGAACCAATAACTGAAGAGCCAGGGTAACATAGATCAGATGCTGTGTCTGTTGCACTTCTATGGAACAATAAGCAGCTTTCTTGTTCAGGCAGATTGTGACTGTCACAGTTTAGGGTGATTGTATTGCCCCATCCTTGGTCTAGTAAGGGCACGCCCTCTAGGCTCCCATCCCGTCAGCTGGCACCTCTCTTGGAAGGAGACTTGTGATTCTTTCTCTCTTGACTGGTTTTTTTCCAGGCTGCTAACGCAGGCCTGCTTTGCTTTCTCTATAGAGGCTTAAAAACAGTGTAATTGCCCATAATTATAAGCTGCCATCCAGCCTTTCTGAGCAAGCACATTTATTATTAGGATGGAAGCAATACAGGGAAAATATAATACAAACAATATACAGACCTGCACACATGCTAATAGGCTCACTAGAGATCACTCCCACCACAAACAAAGACTCTAGAAGGTGATCACTTTTCCAAACCCCTACAAGCAGTTTCTCTGTGGTTACAAGTTCATAACAGCTGTTACTCAGAACAAGTACATGAGTCGTAATGCTTATGCTCTATTCCACGCTGATTAGGCTTCAGCTGGAGTACAGTGTCCAGTTCTGGGTGCCACATTTCAGGAAAGATGGGAAAGACTGGAGAAAGTCCAGAGGAGAGCAAGAAAAATTATTAAAGATTTTTTAAAAAATGACCTATGAGGAAAGATTGGGGAAAAAGTTGGGTTTATTTAGTCTGGAAAACAGAGGGCTGTCTGGAAGGGTGGGGGACATAAGTTTTCAAGTACAGGCAGTCCCCGGGTTACATGGATCCGACTTACATTGGGGTGAGGCAACCCCGCACTAGCTGCTTCCCCCCAGCAGACCAGGGAGACGCGAAGCTAGTGTCCCCCCCGCCCAGCAGACCAGGGAGAGGTGGAGCGGCTTTTCTCAGCAGACACTTCAGCTTGAGAATAAAGGGCTGAGGGAAGTGAGGTGTGGGAGAATAAAACTGAGCTCTGGAGAAATGTTTGGCTAGAGTTTCCCCTACAATATGTACCAGTTCCGACTTACATACAAATTCAACTTAAGAACAAACCTACAGTCCCTATCTTGTACGTAACCCGGGGACTGCCTGTACATAAAAGGTTGTTACAAGGAAGGAGGAGAAAAATTGTTCTTGTTATCCTCTGAGGCAAGGTCAAGAAGCAATGGGCTTAACTTGCAGTAAGGGAGGTTTAGGTTAGACTTTACGAAAAGCTTCCTCATTGTCAGAGCAGTTAAGCACTGAAACAAATTGCCTAGGGAGGCTCTGGAATCTCCATCGTTGGAGATTTTTAAGAGCAGGTTTGTCTGGGTTGGTCAAGACCTGTGAGACAGATCCAGCCCGCCAAGCTATTTGATCTGGCCCGTAGCCTGGCCTGCTGTGCCTCTGCCCCCAGGCCAATCGAGTCCCAGGGGCGGGAGAGTGCACAAAGTCTCCTCCTTCTGCCAGGGCGTGCAGCACCTGAAGGAACCATCAGCTGTTCAAAACAGCTGGTGGTTCCCTTTAAGTATCATGTGCCCCAGCAGGGCGGGGGCAGGAGTGGGAGACTTTGTGCACTCCCCTGCTTCCAGGCCAATCAGGAAGTCTCCTCCCCCTGCCAGCGGTGGGCAGTTCCAGAGGGAACTGCCAGCTGTTCAAAATGGCTGGCAGTGCCCTGTGGGCACCACACACCCTAGGATGGGGGGAGGGACCTCCCATGCTCTCCCACCTCATGGGGGAAAGCACGAAGTCTCCTCCCCCACCACACGTGTTGCCTAGAGGGAACAACTCCTTGTGCCCAAGGCTCTGCCCCTTCCATCTAAGGCCCTGTCCCTTCTGGGGCTGGCCCACAACCACTACCAACATTGATGAAGTGCCCCCTCTACAAAAATTAGTGCCCACCCCTGGGTTAGACAAATACCTGTCAGGGATTGTCTAGATAATATTGAGTCTTGCCTGCAGGGGACTGGAGTATAAGACCTCTTGAGGTCTCTTAGGGTGTGTCTAGACTACAGGGTTTTTTTGAAAAAAGTGGCTTTTTTTCAAAAAAACTTCCCCTGCGTCTAGACTGCCACAGCATTCTTTCGAAATTAAATCGAAAGAACGCGGGACGGTTTTTCGACCGTGGTAAACCTCATTTTACAAGGAAAAATGCCTTTTTTTGAAAGTGCTCTTTCGAAAAAAGGTATTCTTGAATGCAAACAAGGCTTTTTCAAAAGAGAGCATCCAGACTGCCTGGGTGCTCTCTTTCGAAAAAGTGGCTCGCTTTTTCAATAGAAGTGGTTGCAATCTAGACTCTCTCTTTCAAAATAGGCTTGTAGTCTAGATGTAGCCTTACAGTCTTATGATTCTATGCATAGGCGAGCTTTTTCTTTATACAGCGGGTGTCTTTGATATTCAGGTACCGTGAATAAGTAATCAGCAGACAATGTATCTCTCCTCAGGGTGTAGCATCAAAAGCATGGGTCTGGAAGTGGGAATTTGCATTTATTTACCTCTGGTATTTCCTAGGATCTTTTTTTGACATGTTCTGTAAAATTGGCCTTTGACATTCATAACACTTCCCAGAGTTTACATTGTCCATATCTCCCTCTGAGAGAAGTTGCCCTACAATAACCTGTAAACTTTGCATGTAGAATACAATGGACTCCAAAGTTATTTAAACTTTATCAATAACATCTGCCAATGGATTCTGCAGGAAATGGCCATATATCACAATGACCTTTGTTTTGCACATAAACACTGTTCATAGGGCTGCACTTAGTCCTAGACCACTGTGGCTCCCTTCTTGGTGAGCACACTTTCATGCATGTGTTCTGCAGTATGGGAAGTCCCTTTTCGGGTGACGAGCAACATGACAAGGGATTCATTCAGCACCACTGTATTTATTATTATTATCTTAAAGAAACTTAGAACTGCTTTGAAAAGTTTCAAATTTTTTCAACAAAAAGGGACAAATTAGCCCTGAAAAAGTTCCCATTTCTGATGTGTTCTACGTTAACTTCCATTAAAAGGCAATCATATCTAATATGAATTATTCCTCTTGCTTCATCCTATCAAGAATAGACAGGATGGGTATGCTTCAGATGTGTGGAACAGAAATAACCTCTATCCTTTTAAGAACAAATGCTGTATCTACACTAGGGTAGCTTGGCTCATTAACTTCTCTTCTCCTTGCTTCATTATGATCAGGCACAGTGAGTGATCGTGGATGGCCTTATCCAGCAGGTCTATTCACCTTCTCCCTTTCCCTTGGTATCAGGCAGGTAATGGAGCAGGGTCCAAACCAAATGATGTTCTTGATGTTCTGACACAGTACCGAGGTCTTTCCTGGAGGTGAGTGCCCTAAAATTCTGTCCAATCTGAATGTTTTTGTCCTTAGGGAAACTGTCATGGTCTCTGAACTCAGCCCTATGGTTGCTGAAATACTTATTGTCTTGCATGAGAATCTCCCTAGGCTACTACTAAAAACATTTGAGAGAACATGTTGTGACAGGCTGATGGCACCTTGCTGAAATAACACCTGCTAACTAGATAGGCTGACTTTACTAGTAAATACTAGTGTTTTTCTTTGACTTATGTCAGGTCCTGATCTCTTGCCTTGAATATAAAGGAAATGCTCTGCTAAGAAGATCTGAGGTCTGGGCTGAACCTCTCTCAAGGAGCATCCCAGCCTGGGAAGGAGCCTTAAGCAAAACTTTGTTCTTAATCATTTTTATTGAGAAATCCAAAGAGGGGAGCGAATTTGGCTTCATGCTCTGTGTGGACTTTGTTTTAGAGAAGGTTGGGAATGACACCTGTTCACATCCATATTCTCGATAGGGAGTAAGATTATCATACATTTGAACAAACTTCAGCCCTCATTCCAAAGTTCCAGCCTTAAATTTGCACACCTCCCATCTGGAGTCAAGGGGCATTTTACCTGTAAATGGACTACAGAATTGGGTTCTCACTGCTTCTCTCAAGCCACACAAGGTCAATATTTCTCCTGACCTTTTCCCTGATCTAGCAGCATCACACAATGCAGCCACTAGTCACAATCAGTCCAGGCCTAGACTTTCACATCTGGCACTGATATTTGCCATACCGTTCAAAAGTGCCATATTGAGATTAACAATGTTCTCTGGTTTTGTAATTATGAAAACTTTTTGAGATTTAATTACAATCTCAGCATGATTTCCCATCATTTCTCACTTGTGTTCATTTGTATTTAGAAATATCAACTGGGTAATGTATTAAAGTACCCTCATTCCAGATTAAAGGAACTCTATCAAAGTAATATAGGTCCAAGTTTTTAGGCTTTATTTTTTAAGGGTGAATTTCAAAAGGAAATCTTTATAGAAATCTAATAACAAATGGATCTCCATACATTTTAATACACTTTTTAATAAAGTAACATTCCACATTAATAGAAGCAGAATTCCAGAGCAATCACTGGGACAAGAGAAAGTCTAAGTGTATAATAACAGAAAGTGAAATTGGCCAGTCTAGTTTCTTTCCTCATACTGAGTGAAATGGAAAAATATATTACCCTTTAATCCAGTAGAACCTCAGCTTTATGAATACCTTAGGAATGAAGGTTATTCAGAACTCTGAACAAAATGTTATGGTAATTTTCTAAAAAATTTACAACTGAACACTGACTCAATACAGCTTAGAAACTTCACTATAAAGAAAGAAAATGCTGCTTTTAGCTATTTTAGTTTAAATGGACAAGCACAGAAAGTGTCCTTACCTTGTGAAATCTTTATTTTAAACTTTCCTTTCTTAGCAGTAGTTTGCATTTAGCACAGTATATTTGCCTTATTTTTTGTCTCTGCTGTTACCTGATTGCATACTTCCAGTTCTAAATGAGATGTGTAGTCGACTGCTCAGTTTATAATTATGGTGTTCATAATTCTGAGGTTTTACTGTCTTTATAGTTTTACCTATTTATGCCCTGTATCCTGGCAATGTTCATAATGTAAATACTATAATCATGATAATTACTCATAAAAGATAACTGTGTTTATTTTAAAGGAAAATACGATAGCAGAAATAGTGGAAACTACATTCAATCTTTAAAATTCATTTCTTTCACTTAAAAGATTTTGACATTCTGTTTAAATGACACCATTGCAGGTTTGCCCCCCCCCCGCCCAAATTAATGTGGGACATTCACAGAGAGTCCGTCCTTAAGAAATTTATAAATAACAAGAGCAGCCTGTAATTTACTTTGTATGTTTATATGCACATGGAAACACCATTAAGGGAAGTTGTATTATTCCAATATCTTAGGAAATAAATGCTGTCGACTAAAATTTTTAAAATATTTTTACTTATTTCCATATAACAGCGTTGGAGGAGATCAAAACATAAGCACAGTCACAACACTAGCAAGTAAGTGCCAGTTTCCCTAACCCTGGCATATTTTGAGCTGTTTAATAATTTAAAGTACAGACATAAAGAAAGGTTTGCAATTTTGCAACACAGCACACTCAGTCACTTTACATTCAGTATCTAGTGCTGAATAAGTTTTGCTTAACAGCCACCACGGTAATTTGCTGTGCATGACTGAACAGTATGTTTTGTAATTCCTTGGGATTTTGGAGGGTTCAGTATTATTTTTGGTATTGTATTCTGTCCAAAGTACTTTTGGAATGGATGAGTCAAATTGTCTCAGTCCTTAGACTACAGCGTCTACTTACTTAACCTTTCTCCTTTGCTTATTTAAAAAAAATTAAATGGAGCCATGTTGCAAGATTTGTATTTCATATGTCTCAGTGTAAAGGGGTTATTGGGTCCGGAAAGTTGTCAGCTCACTATTAAAGATAAGTTCCATTTACAAAATTCAAATCCCGATTAGCACTTTGGTTTTTAACAACTCTAAAGATCTGGGAAGTTTGGACAGAGGAATTTGATCCAAATCCATCTTTAAATTTACTGTAAGTATGTAAGAGTTTGTAGCTTTATTACTATTATGTGGTCTTGTATTACTTAAGAAAAGATTCAAAATTACATTGCTGGGCACATGCCCCATGTTGTGCCACCAGTTAAAATTAACATCTGAATTCATTATACTGAGTAATCTGGAGGTGAAACAATAATTGAGCGGTGAGAGGTTTGCACCTATGTTGTATTAGCGATTATCTTCAAGTTATTAACTGGGATTTGCCAAAGTCTTTCGGGGGCAAGTTCTGGTTTTAGAATCCCACTGAATTAAGCTGCATTTCATGGGTCTCTTCCAGATATTCTTCGTGAGTTTAATCCTTCCCTTCGAGGGTACTCCATTGGCACTGGGGCACAAAACTCAGCTAATGCCTTCCTGAACCAGGCTGTGCCAGGAGATCGCTCTGAGTAAGTGAGGACGGATACTTCCTTTTTGAAAATTGGGGAGTATTTTTTTTAAAGCTATAGTTAGAAAAATGCCAAACCTGGAACATAAAATAAAATAGAAGCTAGACACCCCTAATTTTTGGTTTTGCAAATTTGACCAATAAAAATGTGCAGAACCAAAACTCATCCTCCTTACTTCATCTCTAGCCTGACACCCAAGAAATTTGCAAGGGCCAGTGTAATGTGGCTTTCCTAATCATAGTAAAGGGAATCTTAATTGTAATAATATTTTATTTTGTCCTTACAGAAAATTCATCCAAAGAGCTCTAAGTGCTTTACAGACTCATAGACTCATAGACTTTAAGGTCAGAAGGGACCATTATGATAATCTAGTCTGACCCCAAGCACAGTGCAGGCCACAAAATCTCACCCACCCCTCCTAGAATAATCCTCTCACCTATATCTCAGATATTGAAGCCTTCAAATACTTTGAAGGTCCCAAGATGGCTGTGATCTGTACCCCATGCTACAGAGGAAGGCGAAAAACCTCCAAGGCCTCTGCCAATCTACCCTGGAGGAAAATTCCTTCCTGACCCCAAATATGGCGATCAGATAACCCTGAGCATGTGGGCAAGACTCATCAGCCAGACACCCAGAAAGTTCTCTATAGTAACTCCTATAGTGCCCAGACATTAACTTAGAAAAGAGGAGATGAAGGTGGGATATGATAGAGGTTCCGCTGCCCGTGTACTCCGGGTCGAGAAAAGCTGCTCCGCATCTCCCTGATCTGCAGACCAGGAAGCCGCGGAGCAAAGCCGCGGAGGGGCTCCAGCAGCGGGGCAGGGTCCCGCGCCTCTGAGGCTGTGCCAGAGCAAAGCCTCAGAAGTGTGGCACCCCCCCGCCTCCCCGGCTTTGCTCCCGGTGTCCCTGGTCTGCTGGAGACGGT